CGTTTACTAGTCATATCCTTTTTACTGCCTGCCGCATGTCTGCGGGGTGAAGAACCATGTTCATTCCTCCTGTCCTTGGAGGAAGGGATCAATCACTCTACTCTACTTTACTCTACTCTACTCTACTGTACTTTACTCTACTCTATCCACTCTACTCCACTCTACTCCACTCTACTACACTCTATTCTACTACACTCCACTCTACTTTAAGACACTTTATAACACTCTTCTCTACGACACTTTACTCAGAGTCTACGATACTCTACTTTACTATACGACACTCTACTCTACTATACGACATTGAACTTTACTCTACAACACTCTACTCTACTATACGACTCTCCACTCTACTGTACAACACTCTGTTCTACTCTACGACACTATACTCCACTTTACTCTACGACATTTTACTATATTCTACAACACTCTAGGCCAGTCTACTCTACTCTACAACACTGTACTTTTCTCCATTCTACGACACTCTGCTCTACTCAACGATACTTTACAACACTCTACTTAACTCTACGACACTCTACTCTGCTCTACTCTACTCTACGCCACTCTACGCCACTCTACGACACTCTACTCTACGACACTCTACCCTACTCTATGACACTCTACAATACTCTGCTCTACTACACTCTTCTCTACTCTACTCTCCGACACTCTATGCCACTGTACTCTACGATATTCTACGACATTCTACGAAATTTTTTTCTGCTCTACTCTATCACACTCTACAATACTTTACGGCACTCTATAAAACTCTACTCTACTATAATGTACTCTACTCTACTCTATTCTACTCTACAACACTCTTTTCTACTCTACTCTACTCTACTCTACTCTATTCTACTATACTCTACTTTACTTTACTCTACTCTACTGTACTCTACTCTACTTTATTCTACTCTACGACACTCTACTCTTCTTTATGACACTCTACAATACTCTACGACACTCTACAAAACTCTACTCTACTCTACTGTATTGTACTCTACTCTATTCTACTCTACGACACTCTATTCTACGACACTCTACTCTACTCTACGACATTTTACTATATTCTACGAGGCCACTCTACTCTACTTTAGAACACTATACTTTTCTCCACTCTACGACCCTCTGCTTTACTCAACGATACTTTATGGAGCTCTATTTAACTCTATTCTACTCTACTCTACTCTACTCTACTTTACGACACTCTATGCCACTCTACGACACTCTACCCTACTCTGTGACACTTTACGTTACGACACTCTACAATACTCTACTCTACGACATTCTACTCTACTCTACTTGGCGACACTCTATGACACTGTACTCTACGATATTGTACGACATTCTACGATACTCTTTGCTGCTCTACTTTATGACACTCTACAATACTCTACGGCACTCTATATAACTTTACTCTACTATACTATACTCTACTCAACTCTATTATACTCTACTCTATTCTACACTACGACTCTGTATTCTACGACACTCTACTTAACGACACTTTACTCTACGACACTCTACTCTACGACACTCTACTCTACGACACTCTACTCTACTATACTTTATTCTATGATACTACACTCTAGTCATTTGAGTCTACTCTACTTTACTATACTCTACGGCACTCTACTTTACTCTACCCACTCTACACTATTCTAAGACACTCTACAATATTCTACTCTACGTCACTCTACTCTACTCTAAGACACTCTACAATGCTCCACTTTACTTCACTCTACGACACTGTACTGTATGGCACTCTACGACATTCTACTACAGTCTCCTCTCCTCTATCGTACTTTTTTTACCATTTCCGGATCTGTAGTTTTGGCTGCAAGCATAGCCCACACAACCCACACCGCAAACGGTAAGCGATTCGTCAATTAAACTTTGACTTCATAGCCAATCTTAGGCTATTCTTTATTACCCTGTAATTTTTTTATTTTTTTTTAAAGTTTGTCTATGTTTATGCGAGTGGTCCTTATTAGGTTGCCTACAACATTTCTTAATTTTGCGGGCATGGCCCGCACAGGCTGTACCGCGATCTTTTAGCTAGCATAACATTGTTAGTGCAGTTTATGCAAGTGAATAAGTACATTAAAAAATAAGCAGGAATGTATCGATTTTCACTCCGCAAACTCCAATAATTTTCCTATACGTACTCCGTTATGGTAACCGTCAGTATGTGTTACGACAATAAACTACATATAGTCAACATGATCATAATTGCACATTTTGGAACAGTAA